CTTCTCTGTAAAATGTCAAAGGAGTTTTGATTAAGGGATTTGTAAGTTTCAGCATGCCATGGGAATGTTAGTTTTCGTTATATATATTGAATTTTATATGGGGTGGTGGTGGCAGAGATTGCACCTTTCATCCCTGTGATATTTTTCTCTTAGATGTTCCTTAATGTTAATTTCCATTTGATGTTAACATATGTATGTAGCTCAAATTTGCCTGAATCTTGCTCCTCTCGAGTAAGACTTGCTTATTACTTACTTACCTATTTTTAAAGTTTTGGGGACATTAGGTAAAGTCACAGTAAGATATTAAATATTTAGGTCGGAAAGCATTGAATAAGTTGTCTGCTATTGGATTACTATTTTTATTTAACACAATGGGAACTTTCTGAAGAGCAAGGAGTATTGATCAAGTTAGGTATCTTTATTTTAATCATGTTTTGTAGTATGAAAAACAAAAATCCTATAAGTGACATTGCTTTTATGTTTAACTTTTATTTGAAGTGATTTCAGACTTATAGAAAAGTTGGAAAAGTACAAAGAATTTCTGAACTTCTTCCCGAGCATCTACTACATTTGCTCTTTTTATCTGTATATCTTTGTATATGTATCCATATATATTTTTGTCTGAAATATTTCACAGTAAATGTACCCCCTTAACTCTTAAATATATCTGTGTTTCCTAAAAACTGGAAAATTGTTTAATATAACCACAATGTCTGTCAAAATCAAAATTTTGACATTAAGTTATTGTTATCATCCAGTTCATCCAGTGTATAATTATATTCAAATTTCTCCAGTTGTCTTCCTAATGCTTCTTAGCAGTGAGAGAGACAGAGAGAAAAATCCTGCTCCAGTCTTATTCATTACATTTAATTGGTATTTCTCCTCCTCCACACACACCCACCTTCCTCCATCTCTCAGACATGGTCTCATTTAGCCCAGGCTAGCATTGAATTTTTAATCTTCCTGCTTCTGCCTTCTGAGTGCTGGGATTACAGGCATGCACCACCATGCCCTGCTCTTTACTCTCTCAATCTGGGATAATTCCATGGTCTCTTTTGCTCATTTAGGTTCTTAACATTTTTAAGAGCGTATTGAATCTCCGTCACTTGGGGTTTCTCTGTTTTTTCATGACTAGATTCGGTATTTGTATTTTGTGCTGGAATTCTCCATCAATGATGCTTCTGTTGTGTCCCATAGGAGACAGAAAATGGCTGTTTACCCCCTTACTGATGACTTGGGCTTGGTTAAAGTGATGTCTCTGGCATTTCTCCACTGTACAATTACTATTTTTCCCTTTTTCATTGGTAAGGTATCTTATATGGTTTGCTTTGAGACTGTAAAATCTCATCATGCTTTCATTTACTAGTTTTAGCATACTTCCTAGCTTGGATTCAGTGAGGTAAGAGCCTAAAAGTGACAGTACAGGGTCAGAGTTTACTGTTGTAATTTTAAGGAGCCACGAGGTAAATAACAGCATACTGCCCAAAAGACTTAGTATTTCTAAGTTCTTTACTGTTGAAATTTAGTATTCAAAAATGAAGCTAGTCCTCTTTTACCTCGCAGTTGTGATTGACAGGCTCATTAGGTTTTTTTTTGGGGGGGGGATGTAGCCATAACTTTAGTAGCAACAGATAAGTAAGAGGGAGTAGCAGGGAGATCTAGACACTAACAGTGACAGCTTGGTGGTGACCAAGACAAAGCTGAATTTGCTTATCTGTGCACTCATCACTGGGACAGGGTCTCTGTGCTGCTCAGGCTGGCCTCAAAGTCTTGGGCCCAAGGGATCCATCCTTGCCCTTCTAAGCAGCTGGAACTGCAAATGTGTGGCCACTGTGCCCAGCCCAGGCAAAACTAAATTTAAACAGCAGTCTCTGCAGCCATTTGCGATCATCTAATGCAGATGATCAACTACACATGCCCATTCTCCTCTGTGCATGTGATGACGTCCCATGATGTGCCATTTGATGACTGTAACTTTTTCATGTTGAGCTAGAGGTAATGCCAGTACAAACTGATTGACTTATCAACTGTTTTATTTTTTTGTGGGACTGGGCTTTGAACTCAGGGCTTTGTACTTGCAAAGCAAGTGCTCTACTGCTTGATCCAAACCTCCAGTCATTTATCAACTCTTAATAGACCCTGCAGTGTGGCACTACCTTGGTGAATAGATTTCAGCCAGAAATTTGTCCTTAAGATTCAAGAATTCTAGTTTGATGGGGCTTACTCTTATTTTGTACATATGATTTTTCAAGGGTGTGGTCCTTATTCTTGCTGACTAAACTATAAGATTTATATACTCAAATGTGAGTATATTTACAATGCCAAATCAAAAACAGATGAAAGACAAACTGTCCTTTTTTTGCATACCATGAATGACTTTATTTAACTCAAGTTTCGGAATTTGTATTCGATTGATCGAATTATAAGGACGTTTTCCTATTCATGTGCTTGTATGTCAGTGAATGTTTTTGCACTTGCCTAGTGTGGAAGGCAAGATTCTCCCATGAAAAATTCAGACATGTTGTCTTGTGGACTTTGACAATACTTGTACCTAAATTAATTTTGAATTTGGGGCCTTGAATTTGCTAGATAGGTGCTCTACTATTTGAGCCATGCCCCTACCCCTTTTTGCTATAGTTATTTTTGAATAGTTCTCACTTTTATGTCTGGGCCAGTCCTCTCATTTACACTTCCTGCATAGCTGTGATGACAGGCACATCAGTTTTTAATTGGTAGAGATGAAGTCTCATAAGCCTTTTTCCTGGGCTGGCCTTGAACCACACTCTTCTCTCCATGTGTCTTCTGACTGGCTAGGATTATAGATATATACCATCACACTTGACCCCAATATTGATTTAAAAATAAATATTTTAAAAGAAATTTCTGTAAGTAACAACTGTGTCTTTAGAAACTGGTTGTTGTTTTAGTTAATTACTTAATTCTGTTTTGAATTAATTGTAGTTCACTAATTTAGATTGTAAAATCTGTGTTATATTATTATTATGTATGCTAGCTTTGGAACAAAATGGGTCTGCTTTTGGTTCCTATTCAGAGTGGGCCTATTGTAATTATTTTTCTACATAGTTATAGAGATGTCTTCTAGGGTTAAAACCGAACCTCATAATGACTTTGGATTTTTAAACCTTTTAACGGTATGTCTTTATAAAGGCAATAGCACATAATTGTATTGGCATTTTACTTTAAGTTTTCATGTGTGTTCTTTCATGAGGAAGAACAAGAAGGTACCATCATCTCAGTCACAGAAATTCCATCTCCACCTCTGTGGCTTACTATTGGTGTGACTAGATGTGCTGCTCATTCATTCATTCATTCATTCATTGAATAGATATTTACTTACCTCATATATAGAATTTTCTTTTGTGGGCCCTGATCATAGAGGAAATTGAATCATTCATGTAATTCTTAAATTTTTTTCTCACCCAACAAGGAGATATAAATGATATTATTAAAAGGCACTGGGCACGTAGGTTCACCTCTTAAACAAGGAGATATAAATGATATTATTAAAAGGCCCTGGGCACATAGGTTCACCTCTTAAAAGTTAGACTGCTGAGATGGTTTTCACATGAAATTGCTGTCTAGCAATAAGGTGCATTTGCATGTTCTTTATTATTTTTATCATAGTGCTGTGTTTCTCACAAAACTCTAATTTACTTTAGAAATATATTTTAAACTTTCTAGTAATATCTTTACTCAGTGTCACTTTTATTTTACAAGGGGTAGATGCTTATTTTAGTGATGATTTGTCATTAAAATTATGTCAAAATGTCTTAAAATGTTGTTGAAACTGTAAACAAACTCATAACACACACAGAGCTAATTATGGATGCCATCTGTTTATTTTTACCAAGTTTTTTTTTAAGACATGGCATTGTCTGCTTATGATAATCTTTAAGATTATTATAATGACTAAGTCCTGTCCTTCAATTAGTGTAGTTGAAGATGAGAAGATAATTCATTTGTTCACTGACCTTTTCCTGTGTTCGTATGTGAAATATGACATGTCATGATTAAAAAAACATTGTGACATACATTTAGAACATACTTAATTTCTACAAGGGAAAACCCTAGTATATCAATTGGTAGATGTGGCTGAAGTTTTATTAAAAATTTTAAAAACTTCTTTAAGATTTTAGATAAAAAACATTAACCATTCTTTTTTGGTGCTGTAATATGTGGCTTTCTTTTAACTTAAGTTTAGGAATTTACAAGTGATCAATCAAGTTATCAGGACATACATACCTGTTCATGTGCCTGTATGTCAGTGAATGTTTTTGCACATATGTATCCCATGTGTTAGTGTGGAAGACCAGGTACTCCCTTGACAGCATCAGCAGGAGTAGTTACCAGTAATTTGCTGAGAGAGCAGAATGATTTCCCTAGTTCCATTTTGCTATTGTGCATGCTAAGCACTGCTCAAGCCAGACTGGAGGGAAAGCAACTTGAAGGCTCCATCTGCTGCTTTCTGCTACACTGCATTGATGCAAGATTACGCTAATCTGGCTGCTTGTCAGGACAGGTTAGTGAAAGCATGCAAGTGGGTGAGACTTAGGCTAGACTAGTGCTCTGGAAAATCAGAAGCTGCCCCTGTACATGCCATGTTAAATGTAGCAGAACAGGTTGATTATCTGCCACATTGAAAACTACAGCAAAATAAGCAGGGTTTTTTGGTTGAGAATCAGTTTCAAATTAAAATTGTTAAAAATTGTTGGGCCACAAATAAATCAAAATTAGAAAAGAAATATAGATAGGTCATAAATACTTCTTAAATATTAGTTTTTCTCACCAAGATTTGTATGCCATGTTTTGTTTATTTATTTATTTATTTTTTGCCTCACTAAGGGTTTTTAGTCAAGTATTATTAAATGTCAAATATAATTAACCTCATTTTATCCAGAAACTTTAGAATCTTTTCTTGTTTATGTCTACTTAATTTACCTTTTCCTCCGCCTATTGACTGACAGATCTTGGCCTTACAGGTTGAACATCCTGTCACAGAATGCATCACTGGCCTGGACTTAGTCCAAGAAATGATCCGTGTTGCTAAGGGTTACCCTCTCAGGCACAAGCAAGCTGATATTCCCATCAATGGTTGGGCAATTGAATGTCGGGTTTATGCTGAGGTAAAATGCATGATATTGGGAGAAAGGAGGGTGGTTATATCCAGAGTCAGGAGAGCTAGTGTAGCTAAACAGCAGGTAGTTAGGCTTTGGTAACCTATAATTAAGCCAGAAGAGAGTTAAATAATTTTGGTATAATTCAAAATAATTGTAAAGAATTCCAATTCTTAATTGTCATCTATTTCCGGGTGGGGAAATAGCTACAGTCAGTTAAGAGGCAACAAAGCATTAGTTAACTGTTCTTGAGCTTGAATTGACCTTACTTTTTGTTTTATTCACTTATTATTTGTTTTCAAACCGCACTCTCAAGAAATACTGTCATTTATTTCTATATGTGATATATGTGTGTGTGTGTTACCCTGGGTAAATGTTAGTTGTTGATTTGATATTTACTTAATTTTTTCCAACTTTTTTTTTCTAATTTTGTCCTTTATGATTCCATGAAAGTAACTATTGAAATTTAAATTGTAAAACTTTTGGTAAAACATGTACTCTTAATTGATAATTTTAATTATGGGCTTTACTCATACAATCTTAGTTCCATACCTTCATATTTTATGTTTATACAAATCAGATAATAGAGCACTCAACATTTGAAAATGCATTTTTTAGATGATTAAAAGAAGATTGCAAGGTAACATATTAATTTTTTCATGGAAAATTTCTGTTAAAATAAAAAGTAAGCACTATCTGTGTTTAAGAGCACTGAAAGTTGTTTTGAAATCTTTTTAAACATTTTTTGAGCTATTTTGGGTCAGCAACCAAACAAGGTTGTCACTACCATGCTTTTTATGACGTGCCAAGTGGTAGGCCTTTCATAAGACAGTGAACTGATGCCCTATGATATTTACAAATGGATACTAGAAGCACATGCAGAATTTCTTTTCAGGTCTTTATTTGAAGAACCCAGATTCTCAAGTTTTACCATATGTTAGCTGTTTTGAGAAGTAAGAAAAACAAATACCTTTAGTGCACTACACTTGTTGTTCTGAACTTGAGTATGTTTTGATATAGAGGCTAGGTTATTTTATTTTTGCCCAAGGCATTCTAAGAAGTTTTATAAAAAGTTGGAGTATTACCAATTTCAATAAAGTCTGATTGAGGTTAGGCTAAATTCTGCTTGCAGTTCTGTTTGATTTTTAAATATACTTCTAAATTTTATAGAGGGTAAGACAGTAATATTCTGAAATCTGTGGTTTGGTAAATACCATACATTAAAAATGTACCTATAACTGCTTCTTCATTGTATTTAACCTTACTTGTATTGATTTATGTTTCAAAGACTATGGTTTCTTTCCTTTGAATTTTCAGGACCCCTACAAGTCTTTTGGTTTACCGTCTATTGGGAGATTGTCTCAGTACCAAGAACCAACACATCTACCTGGTGTAAGTCATTAAGTTGTAATACAAACTGAGGTTATAATCTTGGTTTATGTTGTACTTTTATGTTAAAACATGTCAACACCAAAGGGTATAAATTGGAGGACAAGTGGAATTCATGGGGAATCAGTTTTTTTGTGCTAATTTTTTGTTTTTATACTTTATGATGCCCAGAAAAATCAGAATCATCTTAACAGGGAAAGCTCAGAGACATCTGATATAAATGATAGTTTACAGTGTTTCCAATCCTTTTGAAAATTGTAATGAAAAAGATTGTGGAATCCTGAGAACAGGAAATGATTTTTTTGTGTTAAAATTTAATCTTTTCAATAAACCTAACTAGCTCTGTAGTGTAGTCAGATGTCAAATGCAAGCACAAAAGCAGCTCATTAATTGAACTGGATTAAGGCA